TATATATATATATATATATATATATATATATATATATATATATATATATATATATATATATTTCTTTTTTTTTGGAGGGGGTGGTGTCACTGTAAGATTAAAATTTCTTAATGCACTAGTTTGCACAAACTACAAACTACTTTGCCGCAAACCACAAAACGCGCAAAACCATCATTTAAATAGGGCGTCTCCAACAGTTTTGCACCTGCCACCAGTTACGCAATCGCTCTTGTTAAATCACCCGCAAACCATGGTTCAGCCCCTCGCGCAAAATTCCACTTTGCGAGCGCAAATTACTGCACGCAAAATTGGATCTTGATAAATCCGGCCCTTAGTGTATTTTGTAAGTACCTATATACATTTTCTTCAATCTTTCCCCTTCGTTTTTTCATGTCAGTTTCTCTTTTCTTTTTTTCCACATTGTCTCATCTTTTCTGTGTTGAGTGAAGGTCAATGTCTTATTTATTTCAGTCTCTTGCCTTTCTTTTTCCCCCAAACTAAATCCAAGATTATGATCCAAAAACTTATTTTCCGTCATGGTGATTTAGCATTTTTTGCTATTTTTGTTCTCTTTTGTTCACAGCAGCAGTTTTCTGTTAGCCATGTCTTTAAAAATGTTAATAACCTCACTGTGAATGATTGGCACATCCCTCTCGATTGCCAACAAAAGAAGGTCTGACAACCGATCCTCCTTGCATAAGCTGCGCAGTTTTGTTTTCACCAGCTTCATAAATTATATCTATCATATCTATCATGGTAGTTCTGGATGAGTTCTCCTTTAAGATACATTTACCTAACGCTAGAATAAATGAAACGTACATCATGCAGCAAAGGAAATTAGAAAATCGGACATATATCCATTATGGAGATGATAGGTTTTTGACGGGCGATGTGCCCCTATTGCATAAGTAATACTGAAGAATGTCCTACTATCATTAACGACACAGGGAAGCTTTTTAGTTATCTTGCTTTGCTAGCATTAGCTAGCAGCTAGCTCATAGCACAAGAACAACAGCCTAATGTCTGTATGATAAAAATACTGAATCGATAGATAAGAACAGCTTTTCCTCACCTGGCTGTCTCCTCCCGCTCAGTAGTTCTTCAGAGAAAGAACTACTTTCCTCCGTTTAAACCGCTACTCTTTGCTAAAGTAGAGAAATTATACAACGTTCAAAGTTTTCCGTTGTCTGACAAGTAGCAAGCCTACTCCAGTATTTTCACCAAAAATTATGTTTTTTAATTCACAAAAAAACTGTTCTGTAATCATTACAGAACAGTTTTTTGTGAATTAAAAAACTTAATTTTCAATGTAAAAGACTAAAAGCACAGAGTAAACAGTGTTTTAGATCAAACAATACTGCATCATCCATGGGGCTCATTTGGTTTCACTTACATGTCTATTCAGGTTGACATTGGAGAGGCGGTGCAGACTGAAGACATAGCCATCCGTCAGATCATGGTTGATCTTGCTTAGGGCCAAATGAGCAGCGGCCACAGTGTAATGTGGAATATTCGCTACCTTTAGCTCCGCAGTTAGCCGCCTTATCTGATTTTTCGAGAGGCAAGTGCGTCGTCACCGGCAAAAGGTCAAAGGTAACAATGTGACCGGAGGGCTTATTGTATTGTTTTTCTTGCCAAAAAAAAAATAATAATAATAATTTCAGTACATGTGTCAAAAAAAAAAAAAAAAAAAAAAAAAAAAAAAGGGGACCAAAAGGGCACATTGGGATCATGGAGCAAAAGGGGCAGGTGCTCAAGCCCCCTTAGCCCCCCCCTCTGCACGTGCCTGCCCCTGTCTGCTCTGTTTGTCCTGTCTGATCCTGGATTCTACCGGCTTCTGAACCTGGAACTGTCTTCTGACTTCGGCCTTGGATTTCCCTTCTGGACTCTGTTGTTGCTCGGCGTCTGCTGCGCGCTCTCTAGGATCTCTGGGGGCGTCGCCCGCCGCAACTGCGGTCAAAGCTCCGCGAACGGACTGAACTTTGAATCAGGTCAGTGACTTTGCTCCAAGTCGTGTTAAGCTCCATATCCAGTCGCTAGTGATGGGTTGATGAGGCGTCATGAAACGTTTCGACACATTACCAAACTGTATTGATACTGCGTCGATACTGTGTCACTGAATACTGACACCTGCTGGACATTAAAAATCCCTACAGGCAACCTAGTTGACAGAGTTAACTGACACTGATTTGATGACCTATTATATACACTAATATGATGCAATTCATTGTATGATGCATTGTATTATTATTAAAACATATTTGATATTTTAGAAACAGTCAAAGAATAATGAGAACCTGCATCATAATTTAATAATCTCTAATCTGTATTTATTTGTCTATCCTCATCCCCCAATACATCTTCCTACACCTTATTTAATTGATTTTATTTTTCTATTGTATATACTGTGTCTAAACATCCTCTATTTTCTTGTATGTGCAATTTTTCCTGCTACTGGAAATACAATTTCCCGAAGGGAGTAATCCCAAGGGATTAATAAAGTCAAGTCTAAGTCTAAGTAAACATGTAGTAAATGAAGATGCTTGTTCACTGGTATTTTTTTTTATTTTTTTTTTACAAATTTTTATTAAAAAAAATAAGTTTTGAAATTCAGTCTGTTGCGCTTTTTTTATATTAGTTCTCCAGCTGTGGAAAACACCCGCTCACACAGCACAGATGAAGCTGGAGTGCACAAAAATTTTAAGGCCAGGCGGAAGAGGTTTGGATAAACCGTCCTTTAGTTTTTCCAATATACAAGAGGATCCTGGGACCTCGCAATATTGCCCTCTGCCATGTATCTCTGCACCTCAAGGATGGCATCAGCTGTGGCACTTTTGGTCTGCCTCCCCACTTCGAGATCAAAATGTTCCCAAAGGTCATCTTAAAAAAAAAAAAAAGTATTTTAGTACATGAATCAAGTGGAAACTCTGAGAGGAACAGGATGAAACAAGGAAATTAAAACAAATACCTTATTTTCCGAAATGACATCAAAGTGGTCCCACACGGCAGAAACCTTTCTTTTTGCTTGAGGAAGCTCCATAATTTTTGATGAATTTTATATTCGCAAAACACGCAAGATTGTTTTGGCAGATGCATCTCGTTGGCAGATGCGCATCCTTATAAAGGCTTGTCAGTCAGTTCGAAACATCGGTCACGTGACCGATACAGGAACTGTTTCGGTCACGTGACTTTTCCGTAGCGAAACACACGTCGACACAGGTTTCGCTCTATGAGACAGACACATGCGCCGACGCATCGGTGTTGCCCGACCCATCACTACCAGTCGCTGACCTGTATTCTCCCATTTCTGCAGAGATCCCTCCGCAGCAGACGAGCAGTCCCGCGCACCTGTCTGCTAATAAACGCTTTGAACTTTCCCACTGCCTGTCTCGCCTCGAATTCTGGGTCCTACATTCTGAGATCGTTACAGGAACCCATTTTACTTAGTGTTGAACCTATAGTGATACCAGAATCAGGCAGGTCCCCAATACAGCCCTAAAATGGTGTTATCGGTATCAGCGAGTACCAACAAATAGGGCATTGATACCATTTTGAGAGCCAAAAGTTTATTCAACTATTGTCACCCATTCCAGGTAGGCAATAAAAGTTCTACTGGATTCAGTTTGTATTAGTCTATTTCCTGCTTCACAAAGGTAGGCAGCAGCTTGACAAAGCCATGCTGGAAATTATTTTACATCCAAGTAGTATGCAGTTCTTCAAATAGATGGTATCGTATAGGCCAATACTGCACAGCCAGGTATCGATTATAGGGACCAAAAAATGGCATTGGCGCAACACAAATTTTAACACAGGCTTCAGTTTATATTTTCTGAAAGTTGATTATTTGAAACATTTGAATGTGATGGAAAGAAAAACTATAGACATCTATAAAGGGAAAACTCACAGCCCTATAATCTTAAACCTTTTTCATTTTAAAGTTAAATTGCCAGTAGACAATTTTCATCATAAGCTGCAGAGGCATTCATTTCAAGCTGCCTGTGACATTTATAATCAATTCAGGCTCATGAAATCAAAAATACAGGAGTTAAATGGAATTGATACAGAATCATTTATAGTAATATAAAGCTAAGAACTTATTTTAAAGGATAAAAAACTTAATTCTGCCATCAAAGACACTACCCTTGGCTGAAAGCCTGGTGAATTGTTTTGTTTTGCTGCAGCTTATTAAATGTATATTGAGTTTTCTTCAACCATTGATGCACAGAGAGAGCATAAAGGTGTCCAACTCTCAACTTCCAGAGTTTTGTGAAAAAGGCTTTAGTTGCAAACGACAAAAAAAAATAAAAAATGGTTCCACCACAATTTAATCAGAGGAGTTAAGCTGATGCAGCTACTAAATTACTTAGGGTACTAATATGGCTACAAATATGAAAACTTTAAATTTGCTGTGTATGAAGATAATAGAAATAATAATAATAGTAATGAGGACCCTGTTCAAAGAAAAAGGCAGAAATTAATTATGAGATAAAAAAGCGATAAAGATCAGTCTATGGGCATTTTATACTACTTAACTCTCCTCTTCTTTATCCACACTTTGTTTTCAGCAAGAATGATGCATAGATACTATTTAGGTGCATCTGAAGGAACAATATCAAGTTTGTTCATTTTCAATAAGAACATTTCAGCAGATTTTATTCTAAAACCTTTAGTGCCTTGTGTAATACTGTTGCAGAAAGAGATGCACTAACTTACTGCATGATTTGTCTTTAAATTATTGGTTCAGAGTCAAGTTGTTTAAATGCAAAAATTATCATTTTATATTCACCAATAGTGTGATTTTTTTCCTACTTTCCAATTTGCTATTTAATGCCTTGGAGAAAGCATTGAGAGGAAGCTATGCTCACACAAAAAAAAAATTAATGAAACTTTTTTATCCTAACCAGACATTTTATCATTCATTCCCCTGGTTTGTTCCTTAACACAAACTAAGCTCATGGAGTATTTCCCACAGTCTAAATCAGAGAATCTGTCCTACTCACCGTCTACACACGCCGGCCTCGCCCTGGTGGTGCCGGCAATCTGGCCTCTCCGGCAGGCGCAGCGGGCGGTCTGCCTGGCGATTGTCCGTCTAGGAACACTGCTGTCTCTGTTGAGCATCACTATCTCGCAGGTCCCCACCGCCAACTGGCCTGCCAAACACAAGAAGAGAAAAGAGGTTCCACCAAATTAGTATAATAACATTATCAAATAAACCCTCTGTTTGCACAGAATAATTTTTTTTTATAGTTTCTTTATTTAATGAAAAATCTTAAACGAAAAAAGTAAAGAGATTTAGATGTTTTACAGTGTAAAGTACTAATTCCTCTCAGATGTTTAATGAATTCTAATTACAGCCACCAATAAAAAGTGGTGCACAATTTTAAGGTGGAAGAAAAAATAAATACATAGTTCTTAATGGTTCTCCATTCACTTTACAAGTCTTTTATATATAGATGTTTTTTTATTTAAAAGGAATCAGTATTTCCCATTCTGATTTAAAATATTGGCTAAAGCTTATTGTCAACAGGATTTAAGTTTGTACTTTGACTGGACCATTCAAACTAAAATGCTGCAGCTCTATGTTAAGTCTAATTGTGATAATTGGGGGGTGACCTGCACCTCAGAATCAAGTCTTAGAAATGTTTTCTTGATCACCCTGTATTTCTCGCTAACCATCTTCCCATTAACTCTAACCAGATTTCCTTTCCTTCCAGAAGAAAAGATTCCACACATCATGATTCTGCCACTACTTTTAATTTCAAGAGATTATGGGCCTGTCCTCAAAGGTTTCACATAAGTGCAAAAAATGATTTTCTGCTTGTTTTGCAGGTGATCAACAAATTTTGCTCATGCAAATGATAAGGCATGCAAACCGGTTTGGTTATGCCCTATTAAAATGAGCAGTTTGCGTTTTCTACTGGTACTTTGAGAGTGTTTGTTTGAAAGAAAGATGAGGTTTTTAGGCATGTATGTAGAGGTAATGATGACAATTATCATAACTATATGTTTCACAAAATGCAACAAAGTAAAAAAAACGTACAATGAGAATATGACAAAATTACAGTTCAATATAAAAGATAAAATATTAAAAGAGATGGAAAAGATGCCTTTGTCTGCTGACTCACATCCCCCACACCATGATCCCCAAAACCGTCCCTGACAGAGAAGGAGCTGCTGTCGAATTTACAGCCGATTAACCTCTAAACAGCTGGATTTACCACTACCAGCTGCTTGCACCAACTGTTTGACTCAATATATTGCAAAACAAGGTGGGTCCATAATTATTTCATAACACTTAAATGTGCCCCGTTCAAAGCCTGTTAAAGAACATTTAGGGAGAGAAAAGAAAAATCTCGTATCCCCTTCCAGGCTTTGTGATGGATTGTCTCTCATGGCGGTTTTTTTTTTGTTTTTTTTTTTGTTTTTTTATTGTCGAATATTGATGTTCACTTCTTTTTATTATTACTTTGCTTTGATTGTATAAAGATTCTCTGTCAACCTGCTGTATTCATTTATTGCAGCTTTCACATTTGTTTCATGTTAATTTCAACCTGATTTTCAAAAGTGTAAAAGAAAAAAGATCCAAAAACTGTGACCTCAGTTAACATTCATATTTTTTGTTTTAAAAAAAAAGTGTTGCTCGTGGTAAATGTTTACATTTACTTATCTTCCACACATGAATTTTGGTGGTCTGGACATTCAAATATGATCTGTATAAAAAACATGATAAAAGAGTTTGTACACATTTTAAGATCTGTAAACTTTTTAAAATCAGATTATTAGAGTTCAGAATTATTAACATTATTTATTTTACACCCAATAAAGTATTTTGCCAAACTTCTTAGTCCTCAGCATAAAATGACTAATGATGCTAAGATTAAAATAATCTGAGGTAAACTAAGTGAATCAGGTTAGTTCTTAAGGCAACTGTGTTCAATAACCATCATCAATAACATCACATATCCTGATTCAATGAAAACATTCAATATATGGAATAACTGAGATGCCATCCATCCATCCATCCATCCATCCATCCATCCATCCATCCATCCATCCATCCATCCATCCATCCATCCATCCATCCATCCATCCATCCATCCATCCATCCATCCATCCATCCATATAAAGTGTAATATTCTATTCTATTCCCTTTATGTATTTACTGTATGGGTCTTTGAGTAAAAGAGGCTCGATACATTTTACCTGTATTTTAAAAATCATGTTTCAAATCTCTTCTCTTCACAGCTTACGGTGTCCTGCTCCATCACATTACATTTTATTCAGCTACAGTAACGTTTGTGGTTGTGATGTGATAACATACATTTCAACAGGATATATACTTTTGCAATGTAAATGCAATAGACCAGAGTTTTTGCTCACTAGTGCGGGATGCTTTATGTATTGCAGGGCATCATAAAGGTAGAATGTATTCACAATATTTTTTCAAAATTGGCAGAGATATCACCATGAATCTGAGTAAACTCAATGTTCACCCATTAGAAACAGTCTGTGTTTGGGGGAAAAAAGGGGCTTTAGTTAATTAGTAATGAAAGTGAAAGTAGCCATAGGTTATTAGAGCAAAGCACGGTCTCACAGAAAGGTTGATGAGGATGGTTTGCTCTGAAAGGTGAATCGAAATTAAAAATATTAAACTCACATATTGTTCGAAGGCACACCTTCCTCTGTTCAGAATCTCAATTTCATGCATGCCTTGGGGGAAGTGCTACACCATATTTAGAAAAATTGTAAGTTCACTAGTCACATTTTTTTTTTCTGTTGAAATGAGTTAAGGAACCAGCACAGGCAGGAATAAGAAGAGACTTGGATGACAGAGAGGAGACTGCTTGGCTCTGTGCTCCGATGACAGACCAATTTTCAAGCCGAGTTGAGATCTACTGAGACTGCAAATGAACAGAATATCTCAGACTGATGGTTCGCCTGGAGAACTCTGCCTTTTGAGAGCCACTATTATAATTCTGTCCAAGCACCCAGAAAAACTGTAAAGTTTTGACAGCATTATGAACTAATAAGGTAGCTAATTGGCCAAGAAAAATGTTGTCTCATAATTCCTTCCAACTAATTAGTGAATTTTTAGGGAGGATGCTTCCAGACACAAAGTTGTGCATTTTATTTCCTCGTATTTTGAGGAAATTATCTTTATCTTCTCATCTTTTTGATGTAATGCTGTAACCAAATTCTTAGAAAGCAGGGTTCCGTTTTACAGGCCCTGAATAAGAAATAATTTCAATAGAAACTGTTTGACAACATGAAGTAAGCAAATAGCACATTTTCTGAAATTATATACAAACTGAGGAAATGTAAATAAGGGGTGAACCTTTCCAGAAGAGGCCAGCATACCTATATTTCTCTACTTTGAATAAATTTTTGTGGAATACTTTCACTTAAGACTAGAGTAAATTATTCATTACGACACTTGGCAAAACTGGCATTAGTGAGAGAGTTTTGGGGTAAAAAAACAGCAGATTACTCTAACTTAGATTATTAATCTTCTTTTTACAGCATTGTACTAGAAAATAGTCCAATAACCTGCCAGTATAATAGCACAACTGCATTGAGTTAGACTTGTTGTTTTGAGAATATAGATCATGATTGTGAAACATCTTATCAAGTACGACTGTCTTTTCTGCTAAATTAATGCACTTATATTGAATCTTCTTAAAAGAAGAACAATCTAACTGTATCTGTCTGCTTTGTATATCAATCTCAAAACAAAATCAAAAAGACTTTTTGGCCATATGTAGGATTGTAAGACTTTTGCAGGCTTTGCACGTCCATCTTTGAAAAGCCAAAGGAAAAAAAAACAGGAACTGGAACGGCTTAGTCAAAGCCAATACTTACATGAAAGAGATTTTGGATACGTTACACAGGTCTTTAATTTTCACCACCCTCCTTATAAGCTTCATCAAAGCCATTTTACAAACAAGACATAATTTATTGCCATCGAGATAACAACTATTGTGCAACCAGGTTTTTGTTTAGGAGGCAGCAACTTGTTCAAAAGGCCAGGTTAGTTTGGTACTTTTTGTCTTAAATCAAAACATTCTACTTACCATTGACTCCAGATATTTTTTTATCTAATATTAAAATCTGTGTTGAGATCTTAAAAGCTGAAGGTGAAACAAAAAAAAAAGTAAAAACAGAGGCAAGCTGTCAGAGTGTAAATTCTATTTCATGGGCACTTTAAAGAGAACTGATAAAATATTTTTCAAAGCTTTCATCTCTGCTTTGTACTCGTAACTTGCATAATGACCCAACATATTTCTAAAACGAAGCATAATCATTTGAAACACTAAATTAATTCAACTTAATTTTAATAAGAGCATGGCATGAATTTCTAGCAGCTCCTTGATGCTCAGACATACACGTACGCACCTGCGTTTAAATATTCTCAAGGTGAAGCGATGAGCTTTTCTCCTAGGAGCTTTACAGCACACCTCTGACAATTGACGCTGATAAATCAAAGCAAAAACCAATCCAATAGCCGGGAGAAACAAAAAAGGGAGTTTCTAGTGTTTACTTTTATGGAAGGAGGAGCCCTGTGAATTGCCTGTTGCAGAAGTTTCATGCAAACAGTTACGGTGGTGCCAGTTATATTTCTGCAAATTATTTAAAAAACCTGAGGGAACCTTTTTAACTTTTTTTTTTCAGCCTCTCCTAGATTGTTCATGAGGCCTATTAGATGTTAATGATGTGCTTTACAGATGCACAAGCTTTAATCACAATGAACTGCTTGAGGCGTCGGCTGCTTTGAGGAACAAACGATGCAGTGTTGATGATTCACTTGTCATTTTAAATCAGGTGCTTGTGAAAATCTTGTAAGAAAAAGGAACATAGCCACTTAATAATTGGAAGAAATGGATTTGAGAGGATGAATCTAATTTAAAGCCAAACTTTTTCCCATAAATATCTGTAGAGGTAACATTTTTAGTGGGTTACAGCGTTTCCTCAAGGTGGAAGACCAAAGATAAAAACAGGCTTCTATCACCTTTGTAATGAGCTGGAAAAAGCAGCAGTTACCTCCTTCTCTCTTTTATACGGTACAGATTTAGATTTATACGGTTCGGCTTTACAGTGAAATGAAATGAAATCAGCTCGATGAACGTAGAATAGAGAGGAGTCTGCGCCTGCA